GCGAATTAATCGAAGCGGCTTCGTCGTTGCTCGACAAGGCGAAAGAACTGATTTCAGGCGACGTTAAACGTTCGACAGACCATTCGGTAAATTTGCCAAAACTTTTAATGAAGTTAAGGATAGTTGGCTAGCGGTTTTCGCGTGGTGCGTTTCTGTATAGTTTCGAAGTGGTATTACTCTGCTGTCAGTGCGGACCATTTTCCTTGCCGGATAACGCAAGGATCCGAAACACTGCCACGAAATTCGTGAACCAACTTTTTATTGAAAGTTGCTTGACTTTGAAAGTTCTTTCAACGTTTTGTACACTTCACAGTTTCGTGATTTTTCTTTTAACACATTTTATAAACGTTGAGTGCTTGATTTATGAACGTCGATTTCCAAAAGTTTCAAACTGTATTGGACGGCTTTTTAACAATTTTTTATTGACAGGTACATTAACCAGCAATTATCAGACGAAGTAGTAATGCTCATTTGCAAACGCAAGTATAAATTTGAGAATATAGAATGAAATATACAGGTATATAATATAATTTGCATGCAAGATGTTCCTAAGTTAAACTCTGTTATTTAAGAAACAAACAACATACTGCTCCAAAACTTTTCTTAATAGAAAGTTCATTTTTTATGACTGAGAATAAAAGTATCAACCATCAGATACCAAGAGCGGTGTCCTGATAAACATACTTCAAAATAATGCATCTCTATTTTCATAACAAAATTTGGTATTCGAGGGACAATTCACTGTACCCAAAGTTGCACATAAAATTAGACGTATCTTTAAAAAATTTTACACACCTAAATATAATTTATGAACTGTACCTAAAGAATTCAGGCGCAGTTTCAGTATGAAAAAGACTCTAAAATGACGAAACTTTTTTAAGAAACCTGGGATTGTAGCTGTGAAGTAGAATTTCCCGTGCAACGTCAGACATTGCATTGTTCACCACGTTACCATAAAATTCTTGATAAAATCTCATCGCGCTATTAACATCAGAATCTATCCGTGTCGAGGGGGTGTAGATGAGTTTAAGGACCCATCACATCGTCGACTTTGACGATCGACACCTAAGGTGGGCTCTCTTGTGTCAAACGAGGTGTAAGCGTCGAGGGTGTTCGCACGAATTATCGAGCAAGCTGCGGTCCAGACTCTCCAGGAATTGATTTTCCACCTCTTCCACCTTCTCTGCCTATGCTTTCGCGCTTGTTCTCGCTCGTGTCTGGACCGTAGACGTTGATTTTACTCTCTAAGATCCGTTTCTTCGGAATACAAACATGAACTATGCAATCCAATATGATTCTCCTTCAAAAATTTCCTTTTATAGTCTTTTAATATTGACATTTACTGACTGCTTCAAATAGTGTAACTAATAATGTTTTATCGTTATCGTTAAATAACATGAAAACAATTTAAACAGAAATACTATTGCATAGTTTAAAAAACATTATTGTAAAATATATACTGTTCATACAGTTAGTGTAAAGAATTTTAAAAATGTTTAATATTAGCAAGTGAACATAAAAATGAAACTTGAAAATGTTTGAATTATTATTAAATAATATTTGACTATTTTTACTAATGGCGAGAGATGTATTTTCTGCCACGAACACATAAATAAATATTTAAAAGTGATTACATATTTTCTATACATATGTACAGCATGAAATACAGTCTGACCTATCAGAATCTTCCAAAAGAAAAATGTTCTAACAAATATTTGTAAGCACCCATCATAGAATATAAACAGTTGCTGTCATGCAGCGTTTCTGTATGTGGAAACCTTTAAAGAGAATATGGAGACATAAATCTATTAGGCAAAATCCGTAATTAGTAATTAGTGGTGCGTGTTGAACAACAAGCCATCGGAGTGGCAAACGTGGCTTGCAGAAACGGTTTGCGCATAGAAGCGATTGGCAAACGAGGCGATTGTTCGCGAGCGAAGCGGATTCCACGGGTCCAGGACGACAATGTTCATGATCTGCTCGAAAAGCTTTCCAGGGATCCAGCTAGACGGATCGAGCAACGAACGGTGGACGGCTGCCAATCGCGGATGTCGCAATTCCAGCTGGCCGACACCGACACGCTGGAATTCCACTCGAGGAATCACGCGAGAATTCTGTCGCGTAGGAATTCGAACGTTCCCTGCTTTTTTTCTTCGCCCTCGGCCGCCACCTCCTTCATTATGAATTTCAAGCTTTTCTCCAGGAATTCCTGGAACGAGAAGCGCGTAACGATCGACGTCGATCTCTTCGGCTTCTTTCCGACCGCTGTCCGCGAGTGTAATATGAAATTTTTCACGGATTTTCCTTCCTGTTTCTCGATATCGCTTTCTCGGAATATATTTGTGTTTAGAATATTGCGATACGTAGCCAGACAAGATTACGTTGACAAGATTGTAGGTTATGTAGATGCAGAAAACTTCTTGCATTACAGGGTGTCTCACAGCTAGTGTAGGTCCCTGAAATAGGGGTTTGCTGTCGTGATTCTGAATAAGTCCCTTTGCAAAAATGGGGTTGAAACTTCGTTTTTGAATTATTAAGGAAAAACACGGACCAATCGCGCATGGAAATACGGTGTGTGGAAGCACAACGCGTAAAATTACAGCGCGTAGAATTACAAAATGTAGAAATACAGCGAGTGGAAGTATGGTGCATGGAATTACAACGCGTAGGAATACAGCGCGTGGAAGTATGGCGCGTGGAAGTATGGCGCGTGGAATTACGGTGCGTAGAATTACCTACGCATAAAATTACGGCGCGTAGAATTACCCACGCATAGAATTACGGCGCGTGGAATTACGGCGCGTGGAGTCACGGCGCGTGGAATTACGGTGCGTAGAATTACCCACGCATGGAATTACGGCGCGTAGAATTACCCACGCATGGAATTATGGGGCGTGGAATTACGGCGCGTAGAATTACCCACGCATAGAATTTCGGCGCGTGGAATTACGGCGCATAGAATTACCCACGCATAGAATTACGACGCGTGGAATTACGGCGCGTAAAATTACCCACGCATGGAATTATGGCGCGTGGAATTCCGGCGCGTAGAATTACCCACGCATAGAATTACGGCGCGTGGAATTACGGCGCGTGGAGTCACGGCGCGTGGAATTACGGTGCGTAGAATTACCTACGCATAGAATTACGGCGCGTAGAATTACCCACGCATAGAATTACGGCGCGTGGAATTACGGCGCGTGGAGTCACGGCGCGTGGAATTACGGTGCGTAGAATTACCCACGCATGGAATTACGGCGCGTAGAATTACCCACGCACAGAATTACGACGCGTGGAATTACGACGCGTGGAGTCACGGTGCGTGAAGTTACGGCGCGTGAAGTTACAGTGCATGGATTTACCCACGCGTAGACTTATGGCCCCATATTTTCAAATGCAAGGCGAAAATATGATTACCGATCGGTATTGAAATTCAATGGATTTTTAGGTTAGGAAACTTTTACATGGAATTTCAAGCTATTACAAAATTCATACGCAAGCGCAGGAATTAAGCTCGGTTTGAACTTTCCTACAAATTAGGTGAAGTTATGAAAAAGGAGAGAGACAGAAATACCGAGTTGTAGAAGTTTTCTTGTTAGAGTTACTTGGTCATTGAACAGTAAAGTCGTGCGATTGAACGTTATCGAAGCTGGATTTGGGGCGTGCATCACTTTGTAGAAGACTTCCTAGAACTGCTCCTGAACTATGTCAGATTACGTTGATTAATAGAGATGTAGGTTAATTGAGATTAAGGTGTGGATTAATTGGGGAATTGGATCGTTGAAAATTGACTAATTGGAATTCTGAGAATTAATAAATAATTTGGGTTGATCCACTGATTAAACTTTCTCCCTTGTATGTTTCGTACATTTATTTATCACAAAAATATTAAAACACTACTTTTTAATACAAACAGTCTAATTTTAAAGATTTTCAAATAACTCTACTTCCTTGAAATTGTCTACTGAAGTTGCAGGGAATAATTTTTATATCTCACTGTTTATTAAATAGTTTGTATCTCAACATGGAGGTATTATTTAATATCTTACTTGTCTTTAATCTTACTGTGAATTTTTATGTCCCATCCTTAAAATTACCTTATATTTTATTGTTGTTGAATTTTAAGTTTCTTTAACAGTCTCTCACTCGTTTCATTCATGAGAAAGTTATGATTATGCGTAGAGTAAGAATCGATCGAAACCCGAGACTCATCTCGGAACGTATTCGAACTCGTTCTTTTTTCGCGCGCGTTTCGAGAGGTGATGCGACGATTTCCTTCACACGTCGCGTCGAAGTTCGTCTGGAAATTTGATTTCCCGCTAGAAAAGTTATCCGAAGCCGCGATCGATCTTTCGCGAGCAACGGAACATCGTCCTCTTCTTTGCAATCGGTTCTTTTCCCCTTTCTCGCGCGTTCGCCGGGGCTCCAGGCAATTCCTCGTCGTTCCATCGAGACGTCGTTCGCGGGGCAGCAATAGATTCGTGTATATTTCTCGAAATCGATTTGCCTCCGCTTCTGAATATTTTTCACGGATTCCCGAGCACTTTGCGTACCACCTATTCCACGTTTATTTCGCCCCGTTGCTCGCCACCGTCTCCGCGTGGAAAAATGCAAAACATCCGCGCGATCGACGCCGGAAAAATGAACGGTATTCTTCACGGACGTAACCAGAGGAAACGTTTACGGAACCGGGAATCCATACTATCCTCTACTTCCGTTCCTATCGGTCTGATCGATGTATATTTCCTTCGGGGTTAATTTTCAACCCCTTTCATCGCGTCTTCACGCGCGAATACTTGGTAGCGATATCATCTTCTAGACGATCATTATACGTACAAATGTTGATCGATATTACTTAACACAAGATTCATGCTTTTTTCTGTTTATACAAAATTGCCTTTTTTAGAGGGGTTTGTAAAAAAATTTTTCTAAGCAAGATTGCAGTAGAATTATTAAAATTCATTGTAAATAAACATAATTTAATATGATTTCAAGACTTCTCAATCATCATCACAATTATGATAGTCATCATAAAGAAACATAATCATATTCATAATACCAATCATCATAACCATTGTAATCATTATTATAATCGTCCTGAAGAAACACCATAATCATTATCATATTCATTATAATCATCTTACCAAACATCATAAGCATTATCATAATCACCATACCAAACATCATAATCATTATCATAATCATCTTGCCAAACATCATAAGCATTATCCTAATTAATATAATCATCATAATTATCATAATTGTCATAATCATCATACCAAACACCATAATCATCATCATAATCATCATACCAAACATCATACTCGTGATCATAATCATCATAGTCATCATACCAAACATCATAATTATCATAATCATCATAATCATTGTCATAACCATCATAATCATTATCATAATCAACACAATCATCATAATTATCATAATCAACATACCAAACACCATAATCATCATCATAATCATCATACCAAACATCATACTCATCATCATAATCATCATAGTCCTCGCACCAAACATCATAATCATCATAATCATCATACAAAGCATCATAATCATCATCACAGTTATAAACACCATGGCAATCATCATAATCGATATATTTAATTACCAATGTTAATAAAATGAATTTTGTGCAACTAACAACCAAGAAAATTTATTTAAATAAAATCACAAAATATTCCATTAATTGAACGCAAAATAAATTGATTTTTTTGAATAAATATTAAATAAGTTCGTCCTGTATCTTTTACTCTGCAGTAATTTATGCATTATACCGAAGTTTATCTTGGGAACAGAATTATAAAATGGAATAATTCATGAATTAGTATGCGTCGTTAAGTTCATCGAGTTTTCTATAACAGAGAAGCAGAAAAGAAAAGTGTAGACGTATATTTTCCGAAGCAGACCATCGTTAAAGTTGTTCGCTCCTTGCTAAGATCCAAGTTTATAGGAGGAGTTTGAAAAGTGGAGCGCCAGAAAGAATCCCAAAGTTTCTTTGAGTTTATCGGATGGTACACCTTCGAACTACCCTAAACATCTAGCTCATTAACCTTTCGGGACTTCCAGACCGGATGTAAGTACTCGGTTCCGATATTCTGAACAAGCTGCTAATAAAGAAAATTATTCCTAACGAAGCAAAATACAAAGTACAATTAATAGTAAATTATTCTACATTCGGTAACGGTATCGATAACATCATTAATGATCGAAATAAGAAGTAATTGTAACGAAGTTTGCATTGCAAATGAAAAAATTTATGTGTTACGATAATTGGAAAATTTTAATATAATTGCACGGAAATTTCTAAGTTCGGATAATTAGAGAAATTTTATGCACGAAAGATACATACTTTTGTTGAAAATAAAAATGTAGAACCATCCTGTACACGTGCGCATACATTTACACAAAATTAAGTGTGCATGGAATATTCCGAATTACTCGCTTAAAGGATTAAGGTCTTCGTACATGCCTATTAAACCAAATTAATTACCCTCATATTCACGCTTTTAACCCTCTTCGCGACTCGTACACACGCTACATGCTGTAGAATAAACGCTCTATTTGAGCTTAAGGCACTATTTGGCACATAGTGCCTTTATCTTGCAAAATCTTTACTTTCATAGGAAAATCGGAGGCTGAGATTAGTTATCATATGACAACATTTATAAATAATTGAATAAATTTGAGTACAAAATGATTTTACTACGGTTAGAAGTTAAAATTGTGTATAAACTAAAACGGATACGAATAAAATTTACATAGGAACAAAGAACTTTTAATTACAGTTTAACGATGATGGGACCCGAGTTGCGTTCAAGTTACAAGAGTTTCCCTTTCCCCTCGAAAAGTCAAAATTATATGCTACGCGCAAAACTTTATTAATAACTACTTATAAAGTTAACGTTATTATAACAGTTATTATATTAGTTGAACTTTGCGTGTCTACAAGTATACAAAGTTTTATCCGGACGTTCTTGAATCACAGAAAGTTTGCCGTGAAAGCAAACACTTAAAAGCACAGATGAGTCTGTATTAAAATTCGGAGCGTTAAAAACATCCATGGTGGAAGTTTTCTAAAGCAACGTTAAGCAAAAGCAAAAAGCAGTGAACGAGCAAAGTAAGCGTGTACAAAGTTTCGTGAGAAAGTTGGCAAAGGACGGCCGAGAAGAGGACCTAAAACCAATCCGATACCAATCGAAATCCATTTGGCCAGAGATTACGTAAAGATACCTTTTACAGTCGGGCACAAAATTCACCTAGCTTCGTCGATAAAAAGCCAGTAATCTTAACCGGAGCCTTATCTCAACGCGTTCGATTGCTACAAGTTATATTACCACCCACTCCATTATTAAGCGTTAGATTATTTAACCTCTAACTGTCGAGTTGGAGTATTGTACGATGGTGTGTTACGTATTGCATTACTGCACGGTATATTATTATCCCATGAATTATTAGGAGGTGAATTACTGAGGGTGAAATTAACATATGTAGAAACGTAATGTTTAGAATTACCATGGGCTGAACTTGGTACGTATAGAATTAGCATGCGTAGAATTATCTACGCGTGGAATTGCCACGAGTGGAATTACGGCGCGTGGAGTTACCCACGCTTGGAATTACGACGCGTGAAGTTCCCCACGCATGGAATTACAGTGCGTGGAATTACTCACGCTTGGAGTTACGGCGCTTGGAATTACGACGTGTGGAATTACGGCGCGTGAAGTTCCCCACGCGTGGAATTACGGCGCGTCGAATTACCCACGCTTGGAATTACGGCGCGTGAAATTCCCCACGCGTGGAATTACCGAACGCATGGAATTACAGTGGCTTGGAATTACGGCGCTTGGAATTACGGCGCTTGGAATTACGGCGCATGGAATTACGGTGCGTGAAGTTCCCCACGCGTGGAATCACGGCGCGTGGAGTTCCCTACGCGTGGAATTACGGCGCGTGGACTTCTCCACACGTGGAGTTCCCCACGCGTGGAATTACGGCGCGTAGACTTCCCCACGCGTGGAATTACCCACGCTTGAAATTACAGTGCGTGGAATTACGACGCGTAGAATTATGACGCATGGAATTGCGACGCGTGGAATTACGGCGCGTCGAATTTCCCACGCGTGGAGTTACGGAGCGTGGAATTACGAACCTTGGAATTACGGCGCGTAGAATTATCACGCGTAGAATCACCACCCATAGTATTACCACTCTTTCCATCACTATACAGCAGCAATATTTAATTCCCTGACCAAATACCCACCTACAGTAACATATCAAAGTCCCAAAACGAATGTTATCAATTATATAATTCGCCAACATGCAAAATCTCAATAAACACTGACATCCATATCAGGATTACATTTCTTGTCAAAAGTGTTTGAACACTCGACTTGTGTAAACGCCAAGGTTGCGTCCACAGAGTATGGCGAGAAAAAGAAGATGAAGAAGAAGACTGTCTGAAGACCGATGCCCCCGCATATTTTTTTCAGTTGATTCAAAAATAATTCGAAAGGACTCCGTCCTTGGATCGCACAGACGCTTGGTCATCGTTGTACGAAACTTCCGCGAAATTCGGCGATCTCTTTTCCGCCTGGTACCCGTTCGACAACGAGAAATACCTTCGTCGCTTCTTTGTTTCTCGTTTTATTTATCGATGATGAAGAAAGACTGTTACGACTCGTTTCAAGAATTTCGGTGCTTATTCGGTTATGGAAGACTCGCTTTACGAGTTTTAAATTTGGGTTAATAATGTTTTACAAGATATGATTTTTTTTTTGGACATCGTCTCATAAATATTGAGTGACTTTTTTGAGTTTCGAAAAAAATTTGTTTTTAAACTCTTTACATAAACTTTTAGATGCTTTTTAGGTGTTCTAAAATGAAAAAGTCTTCCATTAAAAAATATTATTATAGAGTGATGTAATATATTTTTTTTGCATGTTTAGCAAATTGAATGCATTTTCAACTAACTAAATTAAATAAAAAATTCGACTAATAATACTCATAAGAGTTAGACAAAAATTATGCTGGTGAGGTAATAAAGATATACTTTCTAATAAAAAAATTTATCTAAAGAATGATGTATTGCAAATTGCAATTATTTCAAAAGGTAAAGCAACAAATGGTGATTATGAAAGATAAAAAGTGTTCTAAGTAGTTTTATTAGTTACGAAACCCATTATTCCTTTGTATGTAATAAAATGCAAACATTTCACGGAGTCTAGCAGCATATTAGTGTCAGAATGTAATGAAGAGTTAATACAACGCTTGTAACTCGATAAGACGTCAGTCCTTGAAAATGAACGTCAATCGAGGCGAATACTGTAGCTGTTGCATGAGTGTACACGAATCTGCAGATGAATGACTTGCCTGAGGAGACGAGAACATCTTATTTCCCTTGAAGGCACACTTGTAATGATTCTCTCAAGGATAAAATCACACGTAGCTCCTCTCACTCGGTAATTTATGTGCAAACAACAAATTGGTTGCTCCAAATCGCGAATCTATCGTAACATGATACGACGAACAAAATGGGACTTTATCTGATTGGCAGAGAGAACAAGAACTTCTCACTTTTTTACTTTTAACATCTCTAAATTATTTAATACAAGATATTCTACATCATTTTTTATATTCTCTTATTTGACAAATGAACAGCTCTTTCAATTTTTTAAGTAATAAAAACAATTATTTTAAGTAATAAAAATAATCATAGCAAACATTTCTAATTTTTTACAATTATAATTTGTTGTGAAGAAGTTTGTTATTTTTCTTCGAAGAAATTTGTTTAATATATTATTTTTTGATAAACACTAACAGTGAGAGTTAAACTAATTTTTTTTGTCAAAATTAAAAAAATTGAGAAGCTTAATAATTGTCCTCAGTAATAAGATGTTCAAATCGATGTGAATGAATGCAAGATGCACGAGTACCAAATGAAAACAAAAGTCGTGTCTGAAAGGAGGAAAAAGTCTCCCGATGATGAACGAGGACCATCGGAGCAAAAAATCATCAGATAGAACAGTGACTAATGAAATGAATCAGATTTATAAACGCCTAAAAATAAATTATGCTGTAACTACGGACATTGTGAGGCAGTTGAAGGATTTATGAAGTAACATCTTCCTCAAGGTTTCTTAACCTTCATACCGTGAATTGAAGCTCCTTTTGTTCTTTGACATTTGAGGTTAGGACGTTCAAGAATGATGTGATTTTCAAGGACTCTAGAATTAACATACGTTTTCGAATATTTGAGGTTGTGAATTTGGCATTGATGGAATTTATAATTGGGGGGTGTTCAAGGTTTTAAATTTGTAAATGTTCGAACTTGTCAATTTTTAAATTTGTCGAAAGATTGACTAAAATAAATTAGCTAGTTGTGGTGTCCACGTATGGAATTACAGCACGTGGAATTATGGCGCGTGGAATTGCAGCGCGTGGAGTTACGGTGCGTGGAAGTACAACGCGTAGAATTTCCACGCGTAGAATTACCTATGCTTAGAATTACCCACGTGTAGAATTATGGCGCGTGGAATTACAACGCGCGAAATTACGATGCGTGAAGTTACGGCGCGTAGAATTACCCACGCTTGGAATTACAGCGCGTGGAAGTACGACGCGTACAATTTCCACGCGT